ACCGTACCTGCTGAGTGGACAGCAGAAGAACAAAAAGCAAAGCTCTCCACATTGGTGTAACCAGTTTGACGTTTGATTATTTCTCTCGCAGAGATCCCAAGTTCATGGAGCGTACTCTGAAGCTTCCAGGAGCTCAGCCTGTGGAGGTGCTGGAGGCTGTTTACAAGAGTCTTGTCACAGATTGCCCCCACAGCTGGGCTGACTGCGTAGCCTGGGCTCGCAACCACTGGCAGTGCCAATACAGCAACAACATCCGTCAGCTACTGCACAACTTCCCCCCAGATCAGGTACACACTGAGGTCACTGCATGATAGACATCACAATTGCCTTAGAAGACATGCTGTCCGGTATGGGGTTTCTCCCTATTGTAAAGTGGAATCAAAGCATTGTCTTGTCCCATGTTTAATTTAATTTTATCTCTAACTGCAGTTTCATTGCTGTTGGGTCATATTCTCAATTTTTAAGGAGCTTGCTTGAACCCACAGCTCCTGTTGCATTCATCACACTGTATTCGAATCTCTCAACCTGCTGTGCACATTGTCGAGCTGTGTCGTAACTTCTAGAATAGAAAATGCTGTAAAATGCGACAGTGCAATGGTATGAACATGACTTCAGGTTTGCAACAGACGAGTGATTTGGGTGTTTTCTGGTCTTGTGCCAATCTGTTGGCTTGCTATTACAGCAAGTAATGCATTTTCTGAAACTTAGATTAATTGACTCAAAGCTCATTTTGTTATTGAGGCGTGCTGCAAATGTGATGAATAAGTAAGGGGCCGCCTGTTTGCAGAGAGTAACGGTGTCTGCTATGAGCCACTGTGATCTGTTTCATGTGTGGAATCTCTCACCACAACCCCAGCTTTTTTTTTTAAAGCGTTACATTTCCGTCCTTCTAAGTTATAAATTAATCTTCTGTCTTTTAGCTCACCAGCTCTGGTGCCCCCTTCTGGTCTGGTCCAAAGAGGTGTCCTCACCCCTTAGATTTCAGCACGAGCAATGTGAGTATGCATGTAATATTTTTTTATTGTATTAAGAGCACCTACTTGAAGTGCGATCTGCTCTTAACACATTTATCCCAGTCTCAAAGTATTCATGGCTTTTGTTTTTAGGAGCTGCACATGGACTATGTTTTGGCAGCAGCCAACCTGTTTGCTCAGACATACGGCCTGCCAGGCAGCAGTGACCGTGCAGGCGTGGTCAAGATCCTGCAGGAGGTCAAAGTGCCAGTCTTCACCCCTCGTTCAGGGGTTAAAATCCACGTGTCTGATCAGGAACTGCAAAATAGCAATTCCTCTGTTGGTAAGACACACAAATCTGTACCCATGTGCAATAAAGTCTATCTTGTGTTTTGGAGATGTTATTTTAGCTGAAGAGTTGTATATGTAAGTGATTCAATTGTTGCTAATAACTTGATTATTAAAGCTTTGAGAGGAATGTAACTGCTGATGTCTTGATACAGATGACTCCAGACTGGAAGAGCTGAAGACCCAGTTGCCTTCCTCAGAGTCTTCCCAGTTCAAACTCAACCCCATTGACTTTGAAAAGGTGAACCATCTCTCCTCCTATATCTACATTTTTCAGTTGTGTTCTTATAACCTTGGGGTGTGACAGTGTATAAGATCTGTGGTTTGTTTTGTTATTGGGGGGTTTTTTGGTGGTATGGCAGAGAAATCGAAACCTTTTTTGTCATTTATTTGGAAAAATGTTGGTCTCAATTCTAATTCAGGCGTAGTGTTAATAAGAAAATAACTAAACACAGAAATTGGTAGAGTTCTTTTAACTTTGAAAACATAGCCATCTCGTTTACTTTGTAAGAATTGTCTGAACAACACTTCACAGGTTTACTAGGAATCTCCATGTCATGGCCTGTCAGTCAATGTACACAGACTGAACAGATAAGGCACTGGTTGGAAGGCCAATTTAAAACGCTGTGTGCAAGTAAACACATTGTACAGGATTGATTTGCTTTCAAGGCTGTCTCTGTTAGCATGCTGTAGCTGATAAATGTGTATTAGCACAAAGTTATGGGTGGAACTCTAGAAATTCAACTGCATGAGGTGCAAAACCCTCTAGAATAATAATTCTTAATAAAACCTCAGCCTCCACTGATGGGTAACGTGCTTTGTGTGATGATTATGGCCATATGTTGACAGGACGATGACACCAACTTCCACATGGACTTCATTGTGGCAGCCTCCAACCTGAGAGCAGAGAACTATGACATTCCCCCTACAGACAGACACAAGGTGGGACATGTTTTACACCTGACATTGTCTTTGGTTGCTTTTGTATTGTAACAATTTGAGTAATTACATTGATTTCAACTCTGTCATTTTTCCTTTTTCCTCACCCTGGTCTTCATCACTATCCAATCTAGAGCAAACTGATAGCCGGCAAGATCATTCCTGCCATCGCCACCACCACGGCTGCAGTGGTGGGCCTGGTGTGCTTGGAGCTCATCAAGATTGTCCAAGGACACAAGAAGCTGGAGTCCTACAAAAATGGCTTCATGAACTTGGCTCTGCCTTTCTTTGCCTTCTCTGAGCCCATCGCTGCCCCAAGACACAAGGTAGGCACACGTCTGCGTCACACCTCGTTTTGAGCTGTTCAGATATGTAAGTGAAGTACAGTGAATCCCCACAATAGGAAAATATTTACTGTTCTAACACGTAGTCAAGCTCCAATGATGATTCAGCCATGCTAATACTGATGCACCAGGTGGATGCGTTTTGTCTGCCTGGGTGCAAGTGAGTTCAACTCACCTTCTCACACTGAAGGTTTCAGTGTGTGCTGAGGAGACGTATAAGAAGTGTTATTATTGACTTTAATCCCGGTCAACAAACTGCCGTGTCTGTTATGGCTTACAGGTTTCATATACCTGTAGCTGTCAGTATCATTGGCATCAGTTCTTACTCTCTTGTTTTTTGTTTTTTTTGCAGTACTATGAAATCAATTGGTCGCTGTGGGATCGCTTTGAGGTCACAGGGCTGCAGCCCAATGGGGAAGAGATGACACTCCGACAGTTCCTGGACTACTTTAAAGTACGTTCAACTCATCTTTTCCCGTTGCCACCATTTTTGTTTCTGGCATACAATTAACCATTACTTTTTTTTTCTGTTCTTTGTCAGAATGAGCATAAGTTGGAGATCACCATGCTCTCTCAGGGAGTGTCCATGCTCTATTCCTTTTTCATGCCTGCTGCCAAACTTAAAGAGAGACTGGAGCTGCCGTAAGTGCTTATTTCACACACACATAAGTATTTATTTTGCCCGCAGCGCATTTTGAGTTTTTCAGTTTATGCACTGGCTCAATCATGTTCTTCTGTGTGTCTTGCAGGATGACGGAGATTGTGACTAAGGTGTCCAAAAAGAAGCTGGGCAAACATGTCAAAGCCCTGGTGTTCGAGCTATGCTGTAACGACCTTTCAGATGAAGACGTGGAAGTGCCCTATGTCAGATACACCATTCGCTGAGCTCCATACTGAGCCCCACCCACAGAAGGGTGGGAGTCGCAGGGGGGTGGTGTTCTAAGTGGGGGAACCGAAAGTGGGGGATTGGGGGTGGGTGGGTTGATCCAGGTCAGCTCTATTGGATCAATCAGTTTCTTTTTTTTTTTGTTTTTTAGGCCTGTGGTTTGTGTAAACCGGTGCCTGAGTGTACATAGCCCCAGTAAGCTGACTAAAGGATACCTGTATGTGTGTTAGGGATCCAGTTGGTGCTCGGCTGTGGGAACAAGGGTGTGATCGGAGGAAGGGAGCATGTATACTGGACATCCTGGTGTTTCTCAGTAGCAGAACCTCTCCACTTAATTAAATAAGCCTTAGTGGTCTCTTGGTACTTCATAGCCCAGCTAGTGTCCTTCTGAAACATCCTCACCGTCTCACTAGGCTTTAACAGTAAAGGAAGCATCTTTCAATCCAGCCCATTTGTCTGCCCTCCACAGTACTTGCTCTCTTCCCTCTTCTCACCCCTGTCTCGTAGACCTGGTTCCACATTACTGTCTTTTTTTTTTTTTTTTTCTTCAAACATGCACCTCCATTAAATAAAAGAAGGCCACCCCATAAGACACCAATAAGCCCAAGTCAAGAGCCTTTCCTGACTGGAAATCATGTCAGCAGAATGCCCTTCCCAGTTCGAGGCACCGCTCAGCCCTCATCACATCACTCTGTGGCTTCGGAGGCGCTCTTGCACATGACATCGGTTTTCTCTTTTTTTTCTCTCTTTATATTTCATGTGTTTTGTTGTTTTCTATTTTATTTCGATATTTTTTTTTTTTTTGGAGGGGGGGTGGTCAGACAACGTTTTGGCACCTGGTAGATCATAAACTGTCTTTCTACTTTGTTAACTCCAAATGACATAACAGTGTAAGAGCAAGGCAACGAGATGTATCTTGAAATGGGAGCACTTAGTGTGATAGTGAATAAACATGTAAAAACATGCTCACAATTGTGTGGTGATTTTATTTATTTTAATTAAAAAAGATTTTTTTTTTTTGTTCTGCAAGGATGTTGCAGATTTTTTTTTCATTGAACCCGATTAAGTAGGTCACTTCGTTCGAATCAGAATGAAAGCGTCTGATAATTTGTGTTTTTCCTGTGTAACCTGCTTCAGGCTGATCAGAAGTTTCAGTGTAGCGCACATCCGGGAAGCACAGCCTGAATCAGCTAAATACTAAGCTGTGAACTCATAATGAAAGAGCCCTGATAAGAATTTCTTTCTTTTTCCTTTTTAAAAGAATACATTTCAGAGGATATAAGATAATGTCATCCGTGTTGGCTTTTATTTTGCAAATGTACCTTTAGATAATTACATATTCAGAAGAGCACTTCATGAGTAGGTTGTCGTTCCATGTTTAATCTCACTTCCTCTTTTCTGACAGCAGAATAGTGTGTGAATTATGTACTTCAGTCTGTAAAGTAGTCGTGCTGAAGTTCAACCATCTAGTTGACACGTTTTGGCGATAAATTTCATGTTAACTTTTGAGCGCTCCTCCCCAAGAGGAGCGGATACATGCGTATATGTATGTATGTGCAACCCTAAAGGATGTGGTCTGCTCTGAGATGAGGAAGAAAGTGAGGAGGAAGGAGTGTGCTGAACTCTTTAACGAGCTCCCTGAAAACAAAGTCGCTGTACGGCACTGAAACAGAGAAGATCGGTGTAAGTTTGGATTATTTCTCATTTTGAGAAGGTGTCATGATTCTGTGAAGATGCACTGAAGAGGAAGACAAGATGGAAGTGGAGGAGACCGGTGAAACAGGGACTTCCTGGTATGAATACTTTTGAATTTATCATCACGATTTGCTGTAAAAGTTTTGTTCTGTGTGTTAATGCTGACAACTGACAGATAATGTGCTTTACTCTGTAGAAGACATTAATTTATTTTATTTTTTTAAGTTGCTACACATGACACAATAACAACTTAACCCTTTTATAATGCCGTTCTGTGCAGTGTAGAGTGACTGAATGGGACAAGATTTTTCTCTCTCTCTCTTTTTTTTTTGTTAACTTTTCTATTAAAAGTGTGCTTTTGTACAGCTGAAATCACAACAAAATCTGACCAATAATCTCAGGCTGCACGCTTCCAGGATTTCGTTCACTGACTGGAGGAGTTCTATTAGATTTTTCTCAAGTAAAACAAAATCAGTTTGCATATGAAAGTTTTATCCTTTGCAGGTTTTCTGTGCCAGCAGAGACGCACACTGTCCTCTGTGACCATGCTGGGGTAAGCTGCCCCATCTACCTCATTTCTCACAGCTTTATTTTTCTTCCTCTGTAATCCAAGAAACTCACGTTCGCATACATTTCTGATTTTTAGAAGAAGAGAAAACAAGACCCGACCCCAGAACCTGTGATCAGAATCATGGAGGTGAGTAATTTCTGAGATGCATCAGTGGCTCTTCTTCAGAGTCGAGTCTCATTGTGTTTCTCCGTAACTAGCGGAAGTTAGTCAACCTTACCTTTGTGACCACAATGCTGAGTGCAGAACTGACAAGAGATGTGAACGGTGTGTTCAGTTTTGAAGCCACAGAAGCTTTCCGATTCCACCAATGTATGAATTTTTTCCTTATCACGTCATGTTACATTCCTGCTACTGTCATTTTTCCACTTGTTAAGTGGTTTGCAGTCATCTTTACCATGTATGTTACTGTACAGAGGTACATATTAGCTGATGCTATTTAGGCACCTAGTTGGCTGCACTAATGTGGTACAGCTGATGTGGTTAGTGTGTCAAAAACAGGCAGACATCTTGTATTTTACTACAGACACGGTTTCAACCTTCTTCCTCTTTGAAAGAGTCACACAGGAAATGAGAGCTCTGCACCATGCAACATGTCACCCCTCTCGACATCCCTCTGTTTCCACTTTCCTGTACTCTCTCTTATGTCTTTCACAAGTTCACTTTAACTTTTTTTTTACACTTTAACTCTTCTTTCTGTCAGGATGAGGAACAAGAGGAGGAGGGTGAAATGATGTCTGACCACATGAAGGATTCAGAGGTGAGGTGTTCCTCTTTTGCAGGTGCCAGTTGTGTGTGTTCACTTGTTTCAAAGCTTTAACTGGTTAAATGAGCCGACACGCTTGAGTACCTTCGAAAACTAGATTCTTAAGTCTTAATATTGATTTCATTTCAGGAGCCAAGTAATAAAAGGGTTAAGCCTGTGGTGAAGTCCAACAGCATGACAGGTGTCATAACCCCAGTGAAGACCCCTGCTCTGAAACGCATCGGAATGAGCATTTCGGTAACTGTGGTGCACAAACACACACTTTTTTTTTTTTACATACAGCTTTTGAAATACACAGCTAATGACTTTTGCCCGTCAACTCCTCCGCTCTTTTCACAGAGGTCCATTAGTTTTCGCACAGAGGCTCGACCTTTGGCCCCGGCTCCCCTGCGGAATCGGACGAAGGCCTCGTCGTTTCCACGCCGGCGCAACAGCCAGTGCTGGAGCGACACTGTGGAGAGCCACGACCTCACCGCGAAGGAAATCAAACGACAAGAGGTGTCTGCCTTTTAACTCGGCTGCGCAAGCAGCAGATTCTCTGTAATTGTTGTTAATGTGATGGGATGTGTTTTGGAGGTATGTGGGTCAAGCTGCGGGGCTGCGGTTGCAGTGTGGGAGGGGTGACTAGTGCCTCTTTATTTCTCTGAAGCTGCTCTACACGGGTATTATGAAAGAGGATGTGAGCTGGCACTGGAGGCTCAACTTCCTTTCTTGAACAATCAGCTGTGAAAGTTTGTGCAACCATGTGTGTGAAGTGTCTTTTTTTTTTTGTTTTTTAAACTAATATGTTGGAGTTGATGTGTGCAGGTGATCTATGAGCTGACTCAGGGAGAGAGGCAACTTATAGAAGACCTGCTTTTGGTCAAGAAGGTACAAAACGGCTTCACATAAACAGAATATATTGAATACACTTGAATGACCATTTTAGTTGCCTAGATACCAATTTTTCCACTCTTCAATACACCTTTGTTCCCTGCTCTATTTCATGCTGCCAGGTGTACTACGAGCCTATGCTCAAGTTGGACATATTGACGGAGAGTGAGCTTGGACAGATCTTCGGTACTCTGGACTCACTTGTTCCGCTCCATCAAGGTAAATCATGTCTTCTCTTTGCAGCTCGCCTGTTATCTCGATCTCTGCGCATGCATCATCACACCTCCTCATTTCCTGATCGTGCATTAGCAATAAGTAAGGCTGAGCGCTAAATAAAGGTTATCGTTTGTTGAATTTAAGTGTCATCACATTATCGTATCTTTTCACAAAATCCTATCTATATTAAGACATGGTATCATATGAAGCATTTATCATGTAGTCACTGCTTTGTTAGATTTTCCATAAATATATCCGCTTTATCATCATTACCGAGGTATTTATTTGAACTACCATGTCCAGACCCAAACCAAATAAGGAGAGTGTTTATTAATCCTTATGGTTGCACGTTTTAACTTTTTGCTTTTGGATGTAGTGAATCTGATTTTTGTGTCTATCCGTCTTTGGGCTGCAGCAAGACTGATATGAGGTCAGCAAGAGTTTGAGCGTCTCGTTTTTTGTTTCATATCAGATCTTCTGAGTCGTCTCGAGCGACTGAGGGGATCAGAGAAGACAGTCGGGGAGGTTGGGCCTACTCTGATGGACTGGGTGAGTATCTCCATGGAAACCAAGAACTGAGAAAGAAGAAGAGAAAAGGGCACAAGTCACCTTCACTCTCTCCAGTTCCTGCAGTAGATATGTTCTTCTCTTACCCAGAGTCACAGAGTTCAGCCCGTGTGCATCTCTACTTTTTTTTTCTTTTTTCCATGACTTCACATTTCTTGTCTCACTGCTCCTCTGGTCTTTTTTTTTTTTTTTTCCTTCTTTTTGCAGTTCCCTTGCCTGGAGGCTTATATTACATATTGCTGTAACCAGGTGGGGGCCAAAGCCTTGCTGGACCAGAAAAAGCAAGAGAAAAAAGTGGAGGAGTTCCTGCGTCTGTGCCAGGAGTCTTCGTTCAGCAGAAAGCTGGACTTGTGGAACTTCCTGGATCTTCCTCGAAGCCGTTTAGTTAAATACCCTCTGTTGCTGAAAGAGATACAGAAGTGCACTCCTCCTGAGCACCCCGACGAGGATACGCTGCCTGACGCTGTAAGCTGATGTCCTAACCATTCGTGTGCACATGCATATATGTTAGACTGACTCTAAAAAGCTAACCCACTGGATTTACAGACACTTGTGCTGTGACTTGTCTGTACGCTCATCCTCATTATGTCAGCTCTGTGAGGAATTAAAATTTAGCCACTGACATGCTAAGAGCAAACTACAGCTGTCGTTCTAAAAGACTGAAAGATATCCATGTTTGTAGTTTATGCAGAATGTATGTAGAGTACGCTGCTTTTTAAATGTACCAATATAATGTTTGTAATTTAATACTAATAGTGCTCATATTTTCTGATTTTTTTCTTGATAAAGTTAAAAAATAATGTCTGTTGGTCTGACTTTAGATTATAAAACACAAATCTAAACTAACAAACTATATACACACTCTTATTTTTCCTAATTATGACATTTATCAGTCTGCAAGTGAGGAAAGTATTGGGTTCAGCTACTATTTCCTTTTAAAAAATTGTAAGGCTTTGCACATCGGTGCCTTCAAATGACATCCAGCAATTATTTATTAAGCTTCAGTAGGCAGAAATTCTCTCATGTGTCATTAGAAACCTGAAAATCACATGATCATGGTCGCAAATTTGGCCGCTCTCTAGTTACATTATAGCAAAGTAGACTCAAAGGACCAGAAATAAAATAAATCTTAAGCTGTTCAGGAAATGGTTTTTACATTTAAAGCTATACGTAATGTTGTTATACCATCAAACTACTATAACACTTAAACTCCTCACATATTTCTTCAATGTATAGTTTCTTTGTGTCCTGTTCGGGCTGCAGCAAAGATTTTTTTTACTTCAGTTCTCTGTCCCGACAGACAGATGGGACACTCTCTTGATGTCTGAAATGACACCTTAACTGTAATCATCTGTTCTGCTCAGTTGGAGGTCATCCAGAACGTTGTGGCGGAGGTGAACAAGAAGACGGGGGAGGCCGAGTGTCAGTTCTACAGGCGGGGTCTCCACTACCATGAAGAGAGCCAGAGACTACCAGAGATCCAGCAGTCGCGCTTCCTCTACTGCCACGGAGAACTCAAGAACAACAAGGGCCAGGTAGCGCTCCGTTCCTCCGATTGACCTCTGGGTGATTTAATGTTGTTTCAATGAAGGGGGTCAAGTCGGATCGGAAGCTTGGATGTTGGATCTTTGATACGACCGCTATATAATTGTATTTTAAAAGCACACTTGATATTGTGATTTATTAACTTGCATACATCTCTTTGTGTGTCTGCTTTGTCAGCGGCTGCATGTGTTCCTGTTTGAGCTGGCTTTGGTGCTGACCAGACCGGGGGACGGCGTTCATTTATTTCATGTGTACAGACAGCCTCTGAAAAATGCCTTGATAAATCTGGAGGAGATCCCAGATGGTGAGGCAGGCGGAGGAGGCACATTCAGAGGAGCCTTCACCGGGGGAAATGATAAAGGTAACTTATCATCATTTGAAACACAATTCATCATAAACACAGTGATATGAGCCTGCAAGTCACAATCTTTTTCTTTCTAGATGTTTTAAAAAATATTTTTTATCAATTAACTGATGATTGAACAATAAAAAAACACAAATGTTCTATTTGCAATAACAATAAAAAGCAGGAAATAGCTTACATTTAGAAGCTTTAACCAGGAAATAGTTAAAGATTTTACTTCATGACTTACAGACATACTTTTTTAGTGCGTACACAATCTGCATGCTTTATTTCAGGGTTACTGAAACCTTTTCGAGAGCTAAAAGAGTCCAGTTGAGGCTACAGCTAAGCCAACAGACTGAGAGAGAGAGCCATGCCACTCTACCCCGTTGGTTGAAGCGAAACCTTCAACTTTGCTTTCGCTCACTTTCCTCCCTCCCCCCCTCTCCCTCTGTCTCTCCATCCCCCTAGTGAAGAATTGTTTCCGTGTGAGCAGCAGAGGGCGCTCCAAAGCTCACCCGTACAGCCTGCAGGCCAACGACTCCTTCAGCAAGCAGCAGTGGATCACCTGCCTGCGGCAGGCCATCGTCCAGTCTCGGGACAGGACCTCTCAGACTCTGTCGCACCACCTCGATCCCGACCTGCATCACATAGCCGATCTCAGCATCACCTCGGACACAGAAATGGCAGACCACACCAGCCGCTGACTGTCACACTGATTCCCAGGCGTCCTGTGGAGGCTCTATAGATATGTACATTGACATTGAGGAGAACAAATGGGACTGTTTGCAAAAGATGATAGTGCTTCGACACACACGTTGAGTTTCCTGCATGGTTTATTTTTTCTTTTCATGCTTTTTTGTTTTGGATTGTGGTAATGCTGTGATGCTGGCGTACTGTACAGCTGTACAGAGTGGAACAGTATTATTGAATGTGAATTTACCATTGAAAATATTGCTGTTGTTGTACTTTAATAAACTGACACTTAAAATACTGCTTGTGGAAATCTACACAAAGACAAGCCTAAGTATAGCCAACAAGATCGACAGAGAAAAGATTAGAGATGATTATCCTCCCTC